CTCTCACACACACACACACTCTCTCTCTCACACACACACACATATATATCAGATCTGGAGTGTGTGCTTCGGGTTTCCAAATTAGCTTAACAGTTTGTGCGTCTGTTAAAAGTGCTATAAAACCACAGGTCTGGATCCACCCAAACCAGACAATTGCTTTCACTTCAGCAATAATCTGCTATGTGTTTTCTTAAAAAAGAGTCTAATGTTAGGTCTGTACTCCAAAGCGTTCAGGAATTACAACCATGCTGTAACAAGCATTGATAAACAAGTGTTCTGTTTTCAGTGAATTTATACCAACAAAGAAGCGACGTATCCTGGGGGATACACACATTACAATCAAATATAAGAGTCAAGTTTTGAAAAAAAATCATGAAATTGTATTATTTGAGTCCCAATAAGATGGAAATAGCATTAAATTAATTTTCTGATGTCTCTTTATGGGTTTGCCCTTTTTAGGGTTAATGCTTTCACATTGAGCAGCTATATTGTATTTATTCTTCCCTTACGGAAATTAACCATGGTTTTGCAACAAATAAAACCAAAAGGACATGGTTACTATAGTTAGACTATAGTAACCACAAATGATCCGTGGTTTTGCTACACTAACCATAGTTTAATCATGGTATTTCTAGTAAACCTGTGGTTATTGAGTGTGAGTGTGAGTGTGAGTGTGAGTGTGTGTGTGTGTGTGTGTGTGTGTGGAGAAGGATACACTGGGATGGAGAAGCAAACAAAACACAAACGGACAGTGATCTCTCTGAAATAAGCAAATATCCAGAAACCATCTGCGGCTAATAATGCAAACAAACACACTGATGACATCACCATCAGCATCAGACTCATCTGGACTCAAAACACACACTCTGTAAACCAGCCATTCCCAAACGTTTTTTTGTCAGCCAAACGTCTTAGTAGGGCTGGTCCAAATACCATTTTTTGAGCTTCGAAGCTTCGATAGTAATCAACACCGTATATTCGAAGCTTCGGAGGGAGGGGGCTGAACATATTCTTCTCTCGAACAGTGTCAATATTCTGAAGGATTTTACTGAAGGGTGTGACAAAATACTATAGAACTCATTATAATCAGTGATGCTAATAGTTTAAAATATTGTAACAAGTATTCTGTTTTTTTGTGAATTTATACCCACAAAGGGGCGACGTATCCTGAAAAATAAGATAAAATAAAATCATGAAATTGTATTATTTGAGTCCCAATAAGATGGAAAATAGCATTAAATTAATTTTCTGATGTCTCTATGGGTTTGCCCTTTTTAGGGTTAAAATGTAATATTAAAAAAATATTAAAAGTACTTAAAAATAAGTGAATATTTGGTTGGTGGACGACTAGTTGGCCATCCTGGCCAATCTCTAAAAGAGAGAGAGAGTGTGTTGTGATTGTGTAAGTGAGAGGATGTTTGGACAGCTGAAAATCAACCTCCATAATCACAGCAGGACACACACACACACACACACACAGACGGACACAGAGTAAATGAAACCAGACACACACAAACACACACACACACACACACACACACCGCAGCTCATTTAAACACAATCTATGAGTCTCTTTCTCAATAACACACAGACATGAATCAAACTATCGTCCTTCACACACAAACACACAGACGATAAAGCCCAGAAATATTCAATATGCTGTTATTTCAGAAATGCGCTGCGGTCATGAGGAGGAAGCAGACCAGATACCGTTATTCCTGCACAAGGATGTTCGATAAGAGTAAATGTGCTAAAGAGTCTCAAAGATCACGTCAGAGTGTCTGGAAATGATCAGGAAGAACTAAAATATCAAGTTTCTGACTGACATATAAAGCACTAATCAGCTGCTGGATCACGACGCTCGCAACACGACGGTCCCTGGGTTTGAATCCCAGAAAACACACTAAACATAGAGCTGGAACATATAAGTGTAGGGGGAAATAATCAACTAAACAAAGGTCTGAAATGACTCCTCGACATCTCATGAATCTGTCTTTCTGTTTCCTGTGTGTGTGAGAAATGTTCCTGTGTCTCTTCTGAATTCCCCTGCTCTGCTGCAGACCACCCACCTGATATCAACACACACACACACACACACACACACACACACACACACACACACACACACACACTC